CTGCCCACTGGCCCCCACCCCTCAGTCTGACTCAACACTAACCTTGCCTGCAGCGCCCCCTGATGGGGCCTTACAGAGCGGACCCCATCACTCACAGGCCGTTTCCTCCCTGGGACAGCAGCTTCAGCAGGGCCGTGTCCCTGCACCCACAGGGCGCTGGCCACACCCAGGGACACTTGAGGGAATGAGTCGGAGACCTGCTCACAGCAGACCTGAGGGTGCAACCTGGCAGGAGGGCGACCAGGAGTGAACGTGAGTTCACCCACCGGCCGAGCTCCTGGGAGTTCTCTTGGTGGGACACCCCAGGTTCATACAGGACTCGTGCTTTGGGTCACAGCAACCTGTCCTCAAGAGCTCTTCTGTGGGGGATAAAGGGTGCCACCACACAGGCTGACCCCTTGGGCCCTCCCAGCGTCAGCGTCGCCCAGTCCCTCCAGCGAGTCTGCACAGCCCTCCACACAGCGACGCTGCCTCGCGCCACCCAGGCTGAGATGCACACAGGGAGGGCGACACACCTACTGCCCGCGGTCCCCAGGCCCGGGAAGCACAGGCCGCGGCCTCTCAGCCTTCCACTGAATGACGGTGTCTGAGTTGCTCTCACCGGCCTCAGGACAGTGGAGGGCAGGTGAGGAAGCCATGCACGCAGCCTGACGTGTGGACATACTGACAGCGGGATGTCTCATCACCGTTGGTGGGTGGCGGGCTGTGGCCTCCCTCTCTTGCCTGTCCTCAATATGTCACTGCTGACCCATCCTCTCTCTAGAACGCCACGCCCCTCACCCCCAGGAACACATTCTGCAGCTAAGCCCACCTTCCAGCTAGCCCACCCAGCCCACCAAAAAGGAGGGAAGCGGGCAGTCACTCTCTCCTCAGCAAGCCAGGTCAGTGCACAGCACTGGCCACTGCCAGCACTGGCCATTGCAGCCCCGGCCACAACCTTGCCAATGTTTCTGGAGTGTTTACTACAATGGGGACATCTGTATAGGGGGCCGGCTCTCCTGCAGCTTAGGGGCACACCTCCTGTCTTGGAAGGACGCCTGCCTGCAGCTGCTGCTGGCCTGGGGCTGAGCTAGCCACAACAGCAATCCTGCTACCTCAGATACCTGTGGCCCGCCCGGCACTCTGCTGCTCACACGTTCAATGCAGGCCACACAAACTGCGTTCAAGGGGTTCGCTTCCAGCACAGGGGCAGACAAGCCTGCAGAGGCTGGGGGTGGGACCGCAGGGCCAAGCTGAGTGGGAATCTATGTGCCCTGCAGGAGGGGCCCCAGCCGCAAACCCTGGGGGGGGGGCGCCCCCAGAGGGGAAACATCTTCTCTTGAGCCACTGCCCCTCACCGCCCGAGGCGCCAGGAGGCCTGCTGAGCCAGAGCCCGGCGCCCAGGGCTCTGGAATCAGACCAGGGGCCCTAATCCCGCCTCTGAATCGCCAGCTGCGGGGCCTGGGCCAAAGCCCCGCCTCTCTGGCCTCAGTTTCCTCGTCCGGGGTGGGCAGGGGTCATTCCAGCCCCTGCCCTACGGGCTGCCGGGAAACAGCCGCAGTTGCAGCGCTAACGGCGGGGCGCC